AAAAATAATATTTTTAAGAGATTTCTTTTAGAGCCTTTGTAAAAATCTCTCTTTTTTTTTTTTTGGAGAGGTTTTTGCTATAGGGCATGTGCACTCACCAGACAGACAGAGAGAGACAGGAGACAGAAAGCAAGAAATCACCCCCCAGGGGGGATGGCCACACCGCAATCCCTTCTCCTCCATTCTTCTCTTGGGATCTTGGGCACACACGCACACACGCCCAGCATGAGTTTTAAGCCACCGGGTCTGGGATGCGAACTGCGGTCAACTACATGGGAGTCCAGCGACAGCCATTAGGCTAAATGCTGGTCCCAAAATTTCACATTTAAGAACTGATTTCAAAATATGTGTTTGCTCTTTTTTTAAAGAATTATTTTATTAACTTTATATATTCATCTATTTCAATTTGACCAGAGAGGGATGGGGAGAATGAGAGAGAGCAAGAGAGAGAGAGAGAGAAAAAAAGTGAGAAAGCAAGCCGCCAGGTCCAGGGCTCGAACCGTGGTCGCCCATATGGAAGTCCAGTGCCCTTAACCACCATGCCACCTGTTGACCCATGTGTTTGTTCTTAAGAATTTAGTCAAATTTAGGATGTATTTTATAGGACTCAATTTCAAAAATCAAATTCTTAATTTAAAACCCTTCTCCTTTACATGGAAGCAAAAAGTATTATGTGAGTTTGATTGGTAGCAGGAGCGGAGAGTGGACCCTAGAGAGCCCTGAGCAGCCCCACCACCGCTGCTGGCCTAGTTATCATCACACCCCGGGAGGAGCTGCAGCTGCTGCAGCCGGCCCCAGTCAGCCCCAGTCGGCCCCAGTCACCACCACCACCATAACCAAGAGCAGCGAGGTGGAGACCCAGCAGCTGCCTGCCACCCCCCTACCCCTGCTGACTCCGCCCTCAGTGCTGCCAACAGCAAGCCACAGGCACTGGTGGCCCGGGGGCCTCACATCAGCAGCGCTTGCCGGCAGGGACAAGAAGGTCATCACAACGAAGGTTTTGGGAACAGTAAAATGGTTCAATGTAAGAACTGGATATGGTTTCATCAACAGGAATGACACCAAGGAAGATGTATTTGTAGACCAGAGTGCCATAAAGAATAACCCCAGGAAGTACCTTCGCAGTATAGGAGATGGAGAGACCATGAGTTTGATGTTGAAGGAGAAAAGGATGCGGAGGCAGCAGTTGTTACAGGCCCTGGGGGAGCTCCAGTTCAAGGCAGTAAATATGAAGCAGATGGTAACCGTTATAGACACTATCCACGTCATAGGGGTCCTCCATGCAATTACCAGCAAAATGACCAGAATAGTGAGAGTGGGGAATGGGAAAAGAACGAGGGATCGGAGGGTGCTCCCAAAGGCCAGGCCCAACAATGCTGGCCCTACTGCTGGCGAAGGTTCCCCCCTTACGACATGGGGAGACCCTGTGGGCGTCAATCACAGTATTCCCACCCTCTTGTGCAGGGAGAAGTGATAGGGTGTGCTGACAATCAGGGGGCAGGAGAACAAGGCAGACCAGGGAGACAAAATATCTCAGGGTTACAGACCACGATTTCGCAGGGGCCCTCCTCACCAAAGACAGCCCAGAGAGGACGCAATGAAGAGGATAAGAAAAATCAAGGAGATGAGACCCAAGGTCAGCAGCCACCTCAATGTCGGTACCAACACAACTTCAGTTACCCACGCAGACGCCCAGAGAACCCTAAACCTCAAGATGGCGAAGAGACAAAAGCAGCCGATCCACCAGCTGAGAATTCGTCTGCTCCTGAGGCTGAGCAGGGCCAGGCTGAGTAAATGCCGGCTTACCATCTCTACCATCATCTAGTTTAGTCATCCAACAGGAAGTGAATATGAAATTCCAGCAATAAGAAATAAACAAAAGATTGGAGCTGAAGACCTTAAGTGCTTGCTTGCAAGCACTTACCTGCTTTGCCTAGATAACTAGAACTATCTGCATTCCCTAAGCAGCATGAGGTTTTTATTATTTTTACCTAAAGATGTCTCTTTTTGGTAATGACAAAAGTGTTTTCTTAAAAAAAGCCTGGTTTTCTCAATACACCTTTAAAGATTTTTAAATTGTTTCATATCTGGTCAAGTTGAGATTTTTTTAAGAACTTCATTTTTAATTTGTAATAAAATTTTACAACTTGATTTTTTCAAAAAAGTCAACAAACTGCAAGCACTTGTTAATAAAGTTCTTAATTTTTTTTTAAAAAAAAGAAAGGTATTATGTAAGCATCCTTAGCTAAATGGAATTTATATGTTACAAATGGCTACACTGGTTATGTCCTTATGATGGTATGCTTTTGTTAATTCATTCTTTCTGCTTATGTGTATTTGGTATTCACTGTGGGTAAAGCAAGACGCTAGGTTCCACAAAAGTCTCAAATATGGGTAGGACATGGACCATTACAGTGAGTCTGTTATACAAATCAAAGGAAAGGAGGCCTAGCCTCGGTGGTAGAGCTGTTAGTGTGCCAGACTGCAGAACTGGAAGCCACGTGCTAATGGCAATTCAAGTCCCCAGCCCAGTCTGCTTGAAAACACTCTGGGCCCATGGGGACATGCCCAAGATCCTGGCAGGCTGGAAGCCTAGAGAAAGGGGTAACAGCCTATGGAGAGTGTTTTTCTTTCTAATCCTCACAGACAGCCTGTGAGGTAGTTATTTTTGGTTTTGTTTTTTGAGAGGTTTTTGCTATAGGGCACGTGCACTCGCCAGAAAGACAGAAAGAGGAGTCAGAAAGCAAGAAATCACCCCCCTAAGGGGCATGACCACACTGCAGTCCCTTCTCCTCCACTCTCCTCTCAAGACCTTGGGCACGCATGCACACACGCCCAGTGTTAGTTTAAGCCACTGGGTCCAGGACTCAAACCACGGTCAACTACCTGGGATTCCAGCAACGTAGCCATTATGCCAACTGCTGGTCCCCTGTGAGGTAGTTTTAACACTGACATTTTACAGATGAAGCCTGGCCTCAGGTCACAGGGATTTGGGGAGTTCTGAACTTACTTGGACTCAAAAACCAGTGATCTCTTCAGTATATCAGACTGCCTTGGGTAAGAGGAGTGATTCTCAAGGAAGGATTTATGGAAAAGGCAGCATTGAATTGAGCAATAGAGAATGGGTAGGACTAGGGTACGCTGAAAAGAAGGGTATGTTTAATTACAATTTGGGAAGATTAGTTCTTGTATGATATTAATTGATACGTGAGAGATTTGTTATTACATATTTTATGCAGTTATTTTACAGGCTCTGCACATAGAACTCTTATGAAAGAGGCAGCGATTATTATCTGTTCAGTAGGATTGATATGGAAATTCCACTTTTAATCCATACCAGCAATCGTGCAAAAAGAGTACAAAATAATAATAAATAATAAAGTAGTCGGAAAATAAGGAACATACCTCCAAGTAGCCAATATTTGAACTGAATGATATTAAGATGAATATTCCTTTTACTGTTAATAATTATAGGTAGGCCTAAAATTGAGAATTTTATTGAGTCAGTACTATAGTTGCTAATTCTAAAAAACAAAGGAATTACAGGGCACAGGCCAGAATTAAGTGTTTGTTCTCTTTCTCTCTGTTTCTTCTGTAGATAATGAAATGGTCTCCAGTTTGGCACTACAAATGTCACTTTATTTTAACACTTACTTTTTCCCACTTTGGTGGGTGAGCTGCATTATGATGCTTCAGATGAAGGTAAGTCTATGCTTCTATTTCTGCAGAGGCCTCTTTTGCCCATCCCTGACTGTTACCTTGTCAAAAAATTATAAACTTTTTATTTCAAAGAATTATTTTATTTAACTTTATTTATTATTATCATTATTATTTTCCAGTTTGATCAGAGAGACACAGAGAGAGAGAGAGGAAGTGAGAAAGCAAGCCACCAAGTCCAAGACTTGAACCGTGGTCGGCCATGTGGGAATCTAGCACCTTTAACCACCATGCTACTTGCCGGCCCCAGAAAATTATAAACTCTTAATGATCTGTCTGAGGTCAGTGTTACTATGCATGAGATTTTTATGGACATGTTCTGTTTTTGTCTTTAGTATTCAGTCTTGCCGGATTACTACAAATTCATTGTGATCACTGTTATCATCCTAGTAACCTTAATCGAAGCCATCCGGTTGTATCTGGGCTACATGGGGAACCTACAGGAGAAGGTAGGCTGCTCTTCCCTTTCCCTCGGTGCTACACATAAACACAGTAGGTTTTCATAACAAGTCAAAGGTAATGAACTGTGGCAAAAGAGCATAGGACAGTCTCTACTCCTTTTGAATTACTCACAGCGTCCGTCCGTATGTATGTTCAGAGTACTGCCAAATACTTGCTTATCTAGATCAACAGAAAATTTGTATCTTACTGACCTCATTACTCTTGATGTGTGTCCTCGCAGGTTCCAGAGTTGGCTGGCTTTTGGCTTTTGAGTCTGCTGTTACAGTTGCCTTTAATTCTTTTCTTGCTCTGCAATCAAGGCCTAACAAATCTACCCTTGGAGAAAGCAATACATATCATCTTCACTATCTTCCTTACTTTCCAAGTCGTTTCAGCATTTCTTACCTTGAGGAAAATGGTCAATCAGTTGGCAACTCGTTTCCACCTCCAAGACTTCGACCGGCTCTCTGCGAATAGAGATGAAAGGAGAATGAGGTCATGTGTAGAAGAGATTTGACACAGTTCTGCTGAGTGAAAAATCCAAAAAATTGTCCGAGAAGACTACAAAAGTTAGGAAGACATCAGAGATCTAACATGAGAAAAGGGACAAAAGAACTGTTTTGAATTGTATACTTTAAGATTTTAAGACTGAGGGCAATGGTCACTTTGTACAGCTCCTGAAAGCAGTATATTAATTAACCTTACAACCTAGGTGTCCCCCTGCTGCCAAGTTTATTTTCCTGATGTTGACTTTTTCAGGTGCGTAGAAATCTATTAGTGGTTGTCACATACTAGCTTTACTGTAGTAACTAGAAATACGTATATTTCTTTTTATTGTCATTTAACGATATTTTGGCTATGTATCTGACCATGTTTCTTGAAGCACATGGAAATGCTAATCAATATTCTTGACTATTGGACTATATTTATAAACCAATAGTTCAAATTTTGATGTCTGCTAGGGTCACATTCTAACCTTAGAGACCTTAGCCTGTTAATACTGAGGTTAAGACAAAAACATGTGAAGGGCCAGCCTGTGGCCTGGTGGCTAAGGGAGCTGGAGTCCACATAGCTGACAGCATGGATTAAGTTGTGGACCTTGCAGCTTGTAAAATACACTGGATGTGTGTGCACATGTGTCCAAAATCTCAAAAGGAGGGAGAAATGGAGGAGAAGAGATTAAGATGTGACCATTCCCCAGGGAGAGTGCTTTCACCCTCTCCACTTTCTGTCTCTTAGAGCACATGTACCTTCTGGTGAGGTTTTTTTTTTAAAAAAAGAGGAAAAACTGAGTGGATTATCATGGTAGTTAGGAAATATTTTTGTCATAAAATTGTAATGATCATAAAAACCATGTTCAGTATTTGTGGTGGTGATATGCAAACTGTATTTTTATCATAAGTTATAAAATATTTATGTTAAAGTATCAGCAACAAATCATTCCTGTCTTGTGCTTTTTTGGGGCTATGGTTTGTTATTTTTATTATAGAGTTACAAGGGAAGGAAGGAGAGACAAACAGGGACTAGAGAGAATTCTTTGTTGCAGTCTGATTAAATCAACCCTGGTGATCTCGTCTACTGGGTCATTGTTTCTTGAAGTACTAACTGCTTCAGGGCTGGCCCCCCAACCCAATGGATGCAGCATTGATGTGCTGCTCCAGAGAGGCCAGATCCCACAAGTGACCATGGTTCGAATTCTTGACTCAGTCAGCCTGAAATGCACTGGGCATGGGCCAGTGGGCTGGTGGGCTAGAGGAAGGGGATCGCCGTGTGACCAGACCCTGTGGAGAGTGTTCGTCTCTTTCCCCCTCCCTCACTCTCTATTATGTATAAGGGGGGAAGGGACTGCTTTATATCCATTAAATTTACATGAGTTTTGATTTGCAGACCAGGGTGACTGTTACTATGCAGTGAGAGCAAGGACGGCCAAATGAGTATGTCCCCTCTAATAGAAATCTATGGAAGAAAATGTGGCTAAGACCAAAGTCTGGGTGTGCCTAAACATTATATGTTTTTTAGGTTTATTTCTGAGAGAGTCAGAGAGCGAACAGAGTGAACAGAGAGGCTACATCCCCCAGAGGATCCGCTCTCTGCGGATCCACCCGCAGCTTCAGCCCCCATGGTGCCTGCGTGCTCAGGGAGGTCTCCAGACATGAACTGGAACCTTGCATGTGAGTCAGCCTTATGGAGTATTGTGTTTTAACACTGTATCGCTATCCAGCCCCCTAAACATTATTTTTAAATGATGATTAGATTAGCATAAGGGCATAATTTTTCATCACAGTTTTTCCTCTTTTCAATAGTAAAATGTAAGTAATATATTTTACTAAGGGACAGTAGTTATTCTGTCCAGTTCTTTTTCTACAATTCCTGCTTATCTTAGTATTTCCATGTTTTGCATCATTTGTTTTTATATTGCTTAAATTTTATTTATTTTTTGGAGAGGTTTTTTAATTTTTTTTCTTTTGCTATAGGGCTTATGCACTCACTCACCAGAAAGACAGTCTGGAACTCAAACCGTGGTTGACTACATTGGAGTCCAGCAACACAGCCATTATGCCAAATGCTGGTCCCAAATTTTTTTTTTTTTTTTGGAGACGTTTTGGCTATAGGGCATGTGCGCTCGCCAGACAGACCCAGAGAGACACAGAGACAGAAAGCGAGAAATCACCCCCCAGGAGGGGATGGTCACGCCGCAACCCCTTCTCCTCCATTCTCCTCTCAGGATCTTGGGCACGCACGCACACGCGCCCAGCGTGAGTTTTAAGCCCCCGGGTCCGGGACGCGAACTGCGGTCAGCTACGTGGGAATCCAGTGACATAGCCATTACGCTAACTGCTGGTTCCCCCAAATTTTATTTTTTTGTTAGGTTTTTGCCACCAGGCACATGCACTTGCCCAGAGAGACTGTGAAAGGGAAACTGAGAAATAATCTCCCAGAGGGGATGCCCACTTCACAATCCCTTCTCCTCCATTGTCTTGGGATTTGAGGCATGAATGCACCCAGCATGATTTTCAAGTTGCCAGGCCCGGGACTCAAACTGTGGTTAACCATGTGGAAGTCTAGTGCCTTAATCACCATACCACCTGCTAGCCCTTATATTGCTTAATTTAAAAAAAAAAAAAAAAAAAAAGTCTTCATGGGACCAGCAGATGGCGTAATGATTATGTCTCTGAACTCCATATGGCCAGCTGCAGGTTGAGTCCTGGACTCAATGCCTTGAAACACACCATTGTGTGTTCAAAATTCTGAGAGGATAACGAAGGAGAAGGGATTGTGACATGATCAATCCCCCTTCAGAAAGTGATTTCTCACTTTCTGTCTCGCTGGTGAGAACACAGGTTTTGGCCCTGTAGCAAAAATCTCTTTTTTAAAAAAGTCTACTTCCTGCTCACTCTTAATTACACCCGACCAAATTATTTGTGCTGATTTTTTTATTTCTGCTTTTTATTATTACATATAAAGTTTAGCCAAAGATTTCTCCCCACATAACAGTGACTGATTAATCTTTCCCCTGTATACCAAGATAGTCACTAACTATACTGTATATATTTTATTCATTTGTTTATTTATTTAAGTTTATTTTTTCCATGAGTGAGATAGAGAGACAGCACCCCAACATGGCCCTAAGGTCAGCTTCAACCAGCCCAGATCCGAGACACATGGTTACACCCAGCACATGCAGGGAGGTGTCCGGACTCAAACCTGGAACCTTTCCATGCGGCTCAGCCTCGCAGAGCATCATGTCTTATCGTTGCATCACTGTCTGGACCCTAGACTCTATTAATGTATAATTCAAAGTAGAATTCTGCTTGAATAGTTTTCTAAAACTTATATTTGTTTACATCTTGTTCACATAGAAATAGGTAGATGATTTCATAAGAAAATATAAAATAAGGACATTTATAGAGGAAATTAAGGAGATGAGAAAATGGATTTAGCAACATTTTCAAGTAGTTTTGTTATAATAAACATGTCGCTTAAAATGTAGATATAGTGGGGCCAGCAGATGGCATAGCGGTTATATCATCAGACTCTCACATAGTCAATCACCATTTGAGTCCCAGACTTGGTGGATTAAAACTCATGCAGGGTGCAGGGTGCCTGTGCATGTGTGCACAAGATCCCGAGAGGAGAATGGAGGAGAAGCGGTTGTGATTGCAGCATGGCCATCCCCCTGGGGCGTGACTTCTCACTTTCTGTCTCTGTCTCTCCAGCAAGCACTCGCAGTGGATAGCAAAAGTCTCTATCTATCTATCTATCTATCTATCTATCTATCTATCTATCTATCTATCTATCTATCTAGTAAGGCGGAGGGGAGACACTAAAAGTAAATTGAGACCCTAACCAAGTAATTTGTTTTTCATCTAAAACATAAAACCATTTTTTTTTGTGTTTGGCTAAACAAATTTTTCTCTTTATGAATTACAGAGTGTCTGTGCGCACATCTGAGAGAAGCAGCTCCACAGGGTCTGTCGCGAGCGATTCCCTTCCTCTGGCCCTCTGCCCAGTCAGATCCTGGGCACTTGCTCCTTGCCCTGCGCGTCTCAGGCTGAGTGGGCGAGGGATCTGAACCACAGTCACCACGTGGGATCTGGCTTGTCTTCAGTAGCACATTACCACTGCGTCAGCGAGCCAGCCCTACCCCACTACCCTATATTACTAACTGCTATCTTGTATTGGAATATACCGGTTCCCTGCATAAGTATCTGAAAAGTGAAGTAGAGAAGATATTTACTTGCCAATGCATTTGGGGTTTAGAATGTCTTTATTTTGTTTGAATATGTTTGTCCATCCTTAATTCCTATTATATCCTTCTCTCCAGGGTTCACAGCACTATTCTGAAATTTCTAGTGAAGATGTTGAGCTTCACAAATGTTTGTCTTTCACATATTTTTTTCTTCCAGAGGCGTTTTCTGATCACAGACAAAGTAGGTGTGCTTCTATAATCAAGATACTGAAATCTACTAATTAAACATACCTTTAAATGCCTAGTACATGCAAGGAATAACGGGAGGTTCATAGACAAGATGTACCCTGTTCTCAGGAGTATGATTTGATATGGGAGGTGAAACATTTGCACAGTGACCATAAGAAGTAGAAACGTGTGACTCCATTAGGGAGGTGCACTGAATGCCTTTCCACCTGGTGACAGGAAACAGACCTTCGGCTTCCTGTGCACGTGCCGTCTGTGTTCCCAGGACTCTGTGTCTAGAGTTAGCACAGTAGCCTTTCATCGGCGTCATTCTGTGGTGGGCACTGTGGTGGGCTCTGTGTGGTGGGCACTGCATGGTGGACACTATGGCGGGTGGGCTCTTTGTGGTGGGCACTGCGTGGTAGGCTCTGTGTGGTGGGCTCTGTCTGGTGGGCTCTGCGTGGTGGGCTCTGCATGGTGGGCTCTGCATGGTACGCTCTGCATGGTGGGCTCTGCGTGGTGGGCTCTGTATGATGAGCACTGTGTGGTGGGGCTCTAAATGGTGGGCACTGCGTAGTGGGGCACTGCAGGATTGTAGAAATGAGATGAGGGATCTGGAAAGTCTTCCCAAAGAGAATACCACTGGAGGCTGGTAGAATGAGTGGGTATTTAGTGTTAAGAAACAGAAAAAAAAGTAACTGTGAATACCATTTCAGGTATTACATTCAGTTGAAGCTGATGGGAAGGGCGTGAGAAGAAATGGCTCAGAGTAAGGTAAAAAGTCTTGGAAGGTGCTAGTAGGCTAAGCTCAAGCTTCCAATATTCTGAATCCTTAAGTAGTTTAATTAGTGGGGTATCAGATCTTTCTGAAGACAACGTGAAAGATGGATGGAAAGGGATGGCCTAGAGGTAGGCCATAGGACCCTCAAGAAGGAACTTAAGGAAGAATAAGCTGGTCTAGACAAAATCAATGTCAGTAAAATAAACTTGAACAGAACCTACTGAAGTTTTTAAAAATAACCATGTAGTCTAAAATAGGTACTGAGAATATTTTTTAAATTCGTTCGTTCAGAAATGACCCATAATGGTAAGCAAAATCACATACTGTCTTATTGGTCTCCTACACCAGGTATTAGATTATTTTTACAGTTAAATAGAGTTCTGTTTTAAACAGTCTAAAATGTAGTTGATATAACTGATTTAAATGATTGTTTGAATCAGTTAAGATTATATAACTTAAAATAGAATCACAAGATTTTGAAAGTAAAGA